CCATTATGAAAAATAAATATTTAATTCCATGCCAGAGAGCCTCAGCCATGGCTTGCCTGCTTTGTGCTACTCCAGTTCATTATAAAAGGCTCAATTCTCTAGAGCTCACCAACCTGCAGAAGTCCTCCAAATCTGGTCTCGTAACAGCTGAGCCACTGAATCCTGATTACATTTGTCAGTCTTGGCTACATGACTTCTCCTCCCATAGCCTGGCACTCTATCAAAGTATCATTTCACACCACCCTCAAATTACTTTTATATGCCTATTTCTGGATGTAGTCTCAGGGATGCCTACCTTTCCTTCAGCTAAATTTTGGTGGACATGGCATACCAGAGCTTTGTCATGCTGGAAGGAAAGTGTTCTGAAAAGTCACCACATTGCCCCCCAACTTGGGAAAGGATGCTGTAATTACGGCACAGAAACAGAAGCCAGAGGGCTTGGATCCTCCCTCTGACACAACTCACTGTGCGCCTTAATTTCCTGTGCCTCCCCTTTTCCAGGTCTGGAAACCAGACATTGTGCTTCCCTACCTCTATATAAACAATTTGAAATCCAATGCTGCACAAGGGCCAAATACGACTGCTGCTTGACGCCACTGCCTTTACTTCCAAGCGCCAAGCTTCCCAGATGGCAGCATAAAGATGTTGTTTCTTAATGTCGGTTTCTGTGCAAGGTGCACTGTTCATGCATGGACAGAACAAGTCAGGGAAAAACCACGAGGAGACAAAGCACTGGGGGTCTCTCTGGGAAGAGAAGGAAGAGATGACTAAGAGAAGGAGATGCAATGGAAAGCAAATTGGAGCATATGTTACTTCCTAATAAAATCCTTTTGTTGCCACCTAAATTGAGGTGGGTAGTGCTCTGTCTTTCCTCTTCCTGCCCTCTTACATTTCTGCTGAATTTAGCTGTGAAGGGAATGCGGAAACAAAGCCAATTTTGCTTCCTTTTTGCGAAGCAGTTAACAGATCCTAAAACGTGGATAGCATATGAACTGGATGTCATATTCCAGAATTTGAACACGTACAGACACTCCACACAAATCAGAAAAGCCCATGAGAAGCTTTGGTTTATACACACAGACAAAATACTGCAGCAGCAATTGGCAGAGATGATACTACTGAGATACTATGCTGCAGCCATTACATACCCCAGAAACACCGGGTCTCAGCATGCCAGAAAGAAAAATAAATAGGTAGAATTGCATCATTTTGCTGGCACTAAACAAATCCATCACAGTGATGAGGGCAGAGCTGCTGCCTGCCTGCCTGAGGAGAACAGCAGCAGATCCCAAGTGACGGATACCCCACTTTCAAAGTGGGGAGAGGAAAGGTACTGGATTGACAGCAATGAAATGTGAAGAAGGGGCTGTCTGTAGATCTCCTTTTCTTCATGGCCAGAATCTCTCAGCACTCTTTAAATTTTTATTTTTGAAGTCTCAAAGATGTTCTAAGCAAGGTTAATTTAGTAATTTGGTTCCTTCTTAGCAGTATTATGTCATTCGTGTATTTTTATTCTCTCACACTGCTACAGCAAGCAATAAATTCAAGGTCAAATACTGGGTATGGTTAAAACTCCAGCAAGCCAGTTGACAGTGGACAGCTCTCAGCATTTGGGCCATGGAAGCAAAGCCTCCTTTTTTTGTGCTGTCATTGGATGGTTTGCCCTTGCTTAATATTTTATGAAAAATACGTGTCATCTGTTCCTTGACGTAGGAACAGGAATGCAGTTACAGAGGAAAAAAAAAAGCGAGGTTTGCATGTTTCTTGTTAACAAATGCATTCAAATCCCTTTGGAAGGCTCGATATCCTTCACTACAATGTCTCTGGTGATCAAAAACTGGAATTTTTTGTGGCAAGGCAAGTCAAAATGATGGAGGCATTTAAAAATACCCCTAACACAAATACTGCATAACCCCCTCGTTATGCCATCATTTGGGAATGCACACTGCCATTCCTGCCATTATTTGGTGTTTGCACAAAACCATCATAAAGAATTAAGAACTGGAGGTGAAGGGGCAGACAGATGGAAGCATAAAGCACTCTTCCAATAGCTCTTGGCATTTTCCTGCTTAAGAGTTGATCTGGTATCCTCTGTGTAATGCAGGATACTATGCTATCATGGAAGACATCCAGTGCTGCCTTCTGGAGAGCACAGATTTACGTCGGCTTCTGTGAAGGCAGCATGATCTAGGCCTCAAGGGGAGCTGGAGCACGAGAAGGTGGGGAGAGATGGGTGTCTGTCACAATGAACGACAAGGCTATGGGGTAACTGTAGACCGAGGAGTGAGAAGGCATCGATGCTCTGCCAGGGATCTGGAGCAACCAGAGGCAGAGCACACAGCTGGGGAACTTATAATGTTCCTACTATGTGGATGTTACTAATATGCTGCACCTTTGGGAAGGACAGCATGTTATCTGGATTGGACCACAATCAGAATGGACAATTTGGGAAGAATAAATAAGCACACTAACTATATTTGTTTCTCTCCCACAAATCAGATAGTTGAACCTTGGCTTCTCCTTACCTCGGGAGATGAGGACAGGAAAGGTTTGATGTATATATTGGAGTCGTGCACTTTGAGGTCATGGTCTCCCAGTCCTCGAGTCACTCCAATTGTTGCCATAACTCGAGCCTGGAAATAAAGAAAAGCGATGGGATCAAATCTTGTTACTTGCACTGTGTCAACAGGGAATGAGATAACGTTCCTACTCCACAACTGCTACAGTAAGGGATGAATTCCCTTTTTTCTCCCAGAAACACTAGATTTAACACTAAGCTAATCAACTTCCAAGCTTTTCACACTCGCGTCATCTCCATTTCTCTCATGATTCCAAGCTTTGTATTCATGCACATCCCAGTCTGTGTACACCCATCTTAGACTGTGGCCATCTGTAAGAGACTGGGACTATGGAAACCCAGACCAGTCGCCTCGCTGTCCCACGCCAGTCTACGAGAGCATTCCTTCAGCAAATTATACTGTTAGTAAACAGTTATTTTTATAAACTGTTAGTTTTATAAAAAGGACGAGGAGCCTGATTACACACCTAAGAAACCTGCAGCCTCTTCCTATTGACATGTTGCCATATATTCCCTCCACCAAGGTAAAGCGCCAAAGGCCACCTTGAATTGCTCAACACACGGGTGACGGTGGCACTGACCACAGTGCTCTCCTCTGTGGAGAGCCAGTCCAGGGCAGGTCTGCTGTTACCTCAAATCTACCACTTCCTTCCCCGAGCACCTTCCTCTGCGACATGAGCCGTTTCCCGAGAGGTGCTGGGCTCTTCTTTGTTAACGCTTCTCCAAAGACTGACCAGGCAGACTGCCTCACCAGCAACCTCGTTCTCTGCATCCCCCAAACTCTAGTTTAGTCACAGCAGCTTTTGAACAAGAGAGCTCACAGCATCAATAACAGCGAGCAACTGACTCAAAATTATTTTGCTTCACTAACCCCTGGCTCCATAAGGCAATAAGAAAGTAAATTAAAAAGATGTGCATGAAACGTTTTGCAAATAATTATAAACCTAACCAAACTCAGAGATAAGCTGCAGGTCTGAACCTTCAAAACTTGGACTAATTTTGAAGAGCGTGTATTTTTGCATTGAGATAAGAACCTAACGCAGCAGGGGAGCACTATTTAGAAACACAACGAGCATACCAATATCAGCAAACTGACACTACCGCGTCCTTATATTGATCCTACTGCTGCATCCAGCTAAGCTTGCTGGGATCAGCACTAATGATCTCACTGTTCTTAATCATGGAGCTGGAAACAAAGTACACCCAAATGGAATGGTTTGTTTCTCCCTTTCAAGAAAAACTATCAGCATTCACACAACAGAAAGATTTAACAGTGAGTTCACGTACACTAGCTGAAGAAGATATGGTTAAGGGGTGTCATACTTCCCGAATCCTGCCCTGATCCCTCCCCTTCCTAAATTAGGGTTTCACATCTCAGAGCGCTCTAAAATGCTATTAAATATCCTCCTGCTTTGTTTTCAGCAAACATGAGGTATTTTGCTATCTTCATCCAGCCTAGTTATATTTTACAATGAAACCAAGAACACTTTAAGTCAATTATTTAAGACGGTCTCATTGTAGCCTACTTACAATGAAAGAAAAACAAAAGCAAACTGAACAGCAAATGACTATGTTTGCTATAAAAATGCTTTTTAGTATGTTGAGCTCCCCCCGCCGCCCTCCAGACATGAGACTGATTTATGACAGAACCAAGATATTCTTTCAAGCTGTCAAAACGATAAAATAAAGAGATACTGAGTGGAAAACACTGGACTGCCACAGGCTAAATCGAGTGGTAAACAGCACAGAATTCCTTCTTCCTTCGGTCTGAGGAAAGCAAACGTGCCCACCTTCTTGCCTTCTCCGTATATAAGGGGAAACTTCAAGTCATCTTCCTCAATGGTTTTGTATGCCCTGTGGGGGGAGGACAAACAACATTTATAAAGCTTGCACTCAATTAGTGACCCAGTGCCCCGAAACAAGCAGCTGTGATTTAAAAAAAAAAAAAAAAAAAAAAAAATTATTTTTCCTAGGGACTCTGTCTTTGAACCAAGATGTAAATTTCATTTTCTGTAGAAAGATTTTCCCTCACGAATTATCCATTTCACCAAAAGGAAAAATGAACACGAGGAAATATCTAACACGCCAAGCTGCTCCTATTGCTTGCAAGGAAAAAGAGGTGGACTGGAATAACATCCTAATCAGGTACGATATCGTTGGCTACAGCAGCAGCTATACCATAATACAGTGTCATAAAAAAATCCCAACCAAACAAAAAAAAAAATCCCCAACTCACCAAGAAGCTAACCAATGACTAGATTCACACTGTTAATGTGAAATGGTGAGCAATGACAGGACACACACACAGTGTGAAACTGCTCTCCGACCCTGTTCTCACCTTTCAGGACCACTTAAACTAAGACAAGCTTCACATGCTGAAGAGTCTTAGAAGGATATTTAGTGCTCATTTGACCTTGACTGCAACAGTCAAGGTTGTCAAAGATTTCACATTTCACAGCAGTTTTCCCATGCCCAAGAGACGAGAGAAGTAAATGCTCATGCTCTGATTCTGTTTACCGCATGCCTGCGTACTCTGACTTTTACACATCCAGCTGTTGACACTGATGAGGTGAGAAGGTGAGCAATTTTGCCAGTGAGAAAAAAAAAAAAAAAAAAAAAAAGACAGCTGTCATTCTCATAAGCTGTAGAGTCCCAAAGTTTGTATAACACATGATAGAGCCGAGGTGCTGGGGAGCCTCTTTGGTTAAAGCATGTCATCCCAGAGGGACACGCTTCCCTTCATACCACAAGATTGTCCCTCCCCAGCCTTTCCCTGCATGTTGTCCTTCCCTCCCGGCCCACCCCTGCCCAAAGCCCTGAGGGTGACACCAAAATCATCCCCTGAGCGCTCGAGTCACTGCTCCCTGCCGAAGTGGAAGGGAGAAGCAGGAGGGAAGGCGCCGCGGCGGGTCCCCAGCCGGCCGCCGCCAGCCCCTGCTGCGTGGCTCTCCAGCCGGGCTGGCTGCTTGAGCTCCGGGGAGTCGCGTTCGATCATGTTTAAGCAACGTTAAGGCTGTGACACAAACCAGCAGGAAATTAAAAATTAAGGGTGAAATCCTATATTGTAATCGAACTGCCCCCTGCTTCACCAAAATATGGCATAGACCTGGGATCAATAAATGGTGCTGTATTACACAGCTATACGTGCTGCATCACCTAGGCAAGCCTCAGACTTAAGGAGAGTAGCATAGACATTTAAGCCCCACCTTTACATTTCCCAGTAATCACAGGTAGGGCCCATATTAGGGTTTGGGGGTTAGGGGAGGGGTAGAAAAAAGAAAAAATAACCAAAACACAGAGAAGAAACTAGTGGAGGACTCTGCTCCCGTACTACAAAACATTACCAGGTGTGAAATACCAAATCGGAACCAAGTGAGGTTTGCAAAACACAGTGGGTGCTTCATGGGAGACCACGTAGTCAAGAATATCTTGGGTATATAACAATGATACTTGGGCACCTCTATAAGAGACAATACAGTGAAGGCATTTAAATGGCATTTTGTACTGGGGAGGGCAAACAGATTAGCTCTTAAACCAAACAAAAAGGCACAAATCACTCCAAGTAGCCAGCATGATAATACTTCCCTGATGTTTAAATCTTGGAATAGCGTTTTGTTGGGAAGGATGAGTCAGTCATGGACTTTGCTCTTGTTCTTTCCTTTATTTCCAACAGGGAATAGCTAACGTCTCTGCCTCACTCACCAACTTGGATATCCTGGTTTGAATGTGGAAGAAGAACTTCACCATCCCTGACTGCTCATGAACATGTCCCAAAGCTTCCAACTGGACCTACAGTGCTGGGAGCCCTGGCGAAACCTTCTTGAGGAGGACTCTTTCCTATGAATTCTTTCCTATTCCTTGTGTAGAGCCAGTTGTGCTCTGACACCAAGAAAGAGGGTTATCAGCTGAGTCCATATTGGGCATCAGAGTCAAATGACTAATCAAACCACAAGCCTGACAAGACAACCATTCCTACTAGATTTTCAAGTTGTTGTACGTATTTATTACAAATAGCAAACAAGACTAAGTTGACGCGATTTAACTATTTGCAATCCCCTTTTTAAAGAAAAAAACCAAACCTGTTCTTTACCCACAAACTATATTATCTGCAAGATAACTACAAATACTTAGGACCAAAGCCCCCACTTTACACTGTCCTGTAAGTGGGGATCAAGTTTTCTTCCCTCTCTCCCCTCCTTCCTTATTCTCCTGAATAGCACCTCACACTGACTGCACTTTAGGAAGAAGGAAAAAAAGAAGGGGTGAAAAAGGCATCATTCAGTTCGGTGTCCTTCAAAAGAATGGTCGAGTCCAGCATCTTTTACAGAACCACCATAAGGACCATCGTCCCTAGGGCCTTCAATTGTTACACAATGGTGCAAGGTTGCTGGAAGAGGCCGTGTTGCAAGGGCTGAAGCTAACTTGTTTCATCAGCAGATTAGGAAGGGCAGCTGGCTAGCCTATGACCTCTGAAGCTATGCGACTAAGTGAGGGAGGCCCAGAGGGCTACAGTGATTTGTTTTGTGGTGTCTCACAGCAAATCACTTCTTGGGCTCAGAACTTGGGTGTCAAGACTCATCTCAAACACGCTTTTTTTTGTTGATGTTGCTATTGCCTGAAAAAATTATCAGCACTTGAAAAACAATGCTCAGAACTGCAGCCACAGCAGTGGAGCTGGCACAGACACACTGAAAAGCAACCTGAGGCACTCTAGAAAAGTACCTATGTCCTGCATTACTAGCGAAACAGAATTAATAATGTATGAGCGTGTGGTTTGCTGCAAGAGAAGGATGAAGGACAGCTTTTCAGCTCGGCAACTGCACTGGGGAGAAGGAAGGAAGCAAGCTATGAAGTTCATTTTGATTTATGCCTTGTGAAACCTCCTGTACTTTGTATGTGTGTTTATTTCACACAGGCTACAACCTTATGGACTATTTCACTTGATTTTATGTAACAAAGTTGCATTTATACCTTCCTGTGCTGTTTAGAGTGTGCTGTATATAAAGATATAATATGGCAGTAGGTATATCAAACACAGACAATCGGAGAACCTGAGGTGGCTTTTTTAGTGCCAACATGGCCTTATTCATCCATCTACGTAATTCAGCCTAGCTCGCTGTTTTAACAAACACAAACACAGGGTTGCAACGCTCCACTCTCCCCATCTTCCTCATCCGCACCCCAGGAGGTCTCAGTGGCCACCAGGGCATGACAAGACAGGTTATAAAGACAAGGCTATGCTATTCCTTGCTGCTCTGAATGAGCCTAAATCCTGTCAAGTGCTTCTGCCACGTAAACCTCTATTTTTCCAAATGGAAAAACAGGGGGGCGGAGGGGGGAGTAGAAAAGGCGAGCTTGTGCCCAGCTAGATCTAGCTGCATTTTTCTCAGTTAACTTCGTTTCTTCTTTTCATTTCAAAAGAATTATGAAATGCTACTGCTGTCCAAAAATACTGAACTAGGCCTTGACATATGTACCACCCACAAAGTTACATTTGGACTCAGGATCAACATTTTGGAAAACCGGGCCAAATCGCACCAGGAGCCAAAAGAGATGTCAGAACGAAAGAACTAGGACTGACATGATGTTACTCATATGCTAACTGGAATCTGCTCTAAATACATGGCAAAATAATCACCAGAAGCTGCTAAATGCACAAGACAATCTACGGAAGAAGTTTCCTACAGTGCTGAGGTCATTAGCAGTGCTTCAGGCACTCTTTAAATAAAAGATTACCAAAGCTACCTGCATATTGCTGGGTCAGAACTTGAAAAACTGGTCAGCTCCCAAATACAGATTTCAGAGCCAAAATCCTACATAATTTCTTACATGTGTTACGCATTCTCCTGCCACATAATTTGTTCTTAAAATTGGCCTTCTGAAAGCATATACAAATTCACGTAAGAGTAGAAGTTGTTGATGACCAAAAAAAAAAAAAAATTAACTTTTTTCCTTTTTTTTTTTTTTTTTTTAAACAGCAAACTTTGTAAGGTTACTGGTCATGAAAAGCATTGCATTGGCATCCCTAGGCACAACAGATGGTGGCGAAAACACAATCTACCCTGACCTGGAAGGCTCAGTTCTGTGAACGACAGGGGAATCCAAACTCTGTGCTCGGCTTTTTCATAGCACTTGGCTTTAGAAAGTTTGCCTGTATTTCACATCTCTGCTAGTGACACCTGATAGTAAACTGAGAATTAAACCTGAGGAAGAGCAAAAAGAATCATCATCAAAGGGCTTCGGCCTGAAGCACAGAGCAAAAGCCACTTGTAGCAAGCAAACAAGAAAAAGCACTACGGCTTCAGAAATGCCCTAGTTCATAACCGAGTACAAAGATGAAGGCTCTCCTCTGAGACAGGTTTGCGGATGCAGTGTATTTCTAGCACTGCTTTGCTACCACTCTGTAAAAAACAGCCCAAACCCAGAAGCACCTCCAAACACCCCCCTACAACAAAACCACCCCAGCTAATCAACCAACCTCCTGTCCCCCAAGCTCAGCTTTCCTTGGTCATATCAATAGAAAACCAGATTTTAATCCCTGAGCACACAAAACTTGATAGAAACTGGTTCTTCCCCTCCCAACCAAGGAATCAGTGGATTGGAGCTAGCCTTTTCAATAACAGAGCTTAAATCACCAACCCAAAAGGAACTGTTTATCTGTACTGTCTATTGAACTACAAGCATTAAACCAGTATAAGTGCGTGCTTACTACCCAAGAAGAAAAAATGTGTAGCACAGGTTAGGCACAGAGCCACTGAAAATTATGCAATTTATGGCTGGACCCAGCCATAATTTTTTAAAAATGTCCTTACACATATGTGCTTCTGCAGAGTCAGGATCTCTAAATCCAGACA